AAAACTGAGCAGATGGGGAGCGCTGCCAACGTGCTACTCAACACCACATGCAACAGCATACCATCCCACTCGTCAACAGCTTTTCTTCATTTTTATTTTGAGAAATGGAAGTAATATACAGCACTGTGCAAAAGTCTTGTGTCAGTCTTTGTCCAGGCTTTCCGGCTGTCTCACCCAACGTCACTGCAAACTTATTACTGAGCATTTTTACATGAGTGGCTCATTTTTGGGGTTTGTTTTTTTTAAACGCCATTCAACACTGACCGATGAACCATTTGCTAAAAATGAACTCAAAGTAGCGTCAGTCAGATTTTGCTCCACCATAACATCTAACTACAAAATGACAAGAAAGCCGTCTAAGAGCTGGAATGAAGAAACAATGTAGTCAAACTCAGTACAGCAGCTAAATGCTAACACATATGTTTGCATTTATGAAAGCTGATGAGTGCGTCTTGGATATAAACAGTTTCTAATACTTAAATGAGTTCAAAGCAATGGTTGTATCATTTGATCCTCTACTGTTAACTGAAAGGTTTAAGGATGGCCTGACCTTTTAACTCCTATTATTAAAACTTTAAAATAAGCTTCGACTCAAATGTGACAAACGAGTCATGTACACGAACAGTTTCTTCTTCTCTAAAACCTACAGACTAGGAGCTTTTTTGAAAACCCATCAGATTGTGGAAAAAGTTACGCATGCTTACATTTACTCAGGTTAGTAGGTTTCACTTCCTCATTATTAATCACTTGGACTCAGATTACTCAACGTTAGCACCTTTGCATGAGATCCCTGTGGTGCTGCTTTAATTAAAGCCTTAACACTCCCTCCAGACGTCCGTCATCCTGTGCTCAAAGTTCACCTCAAAAGGGCCTTTTGGACTGTGGGAATGATCCATGTGACCTCAGACAAGCATCAGCTGTGACCCACTTTAAACCAAAGATAATTAAACACTTCCTTCTTGGTCGAGCTTTTGGAAAGTGCTGATATCAGAGTTGATGAGTTGTCATTTTATGTAACTAGCAGAGCATCTCACTGGTGATGTCCACAGGTTCTAGACTTCAGCCACTCGCTGAACTTCCCACAGTGGACAAAACATGAAGTGAGTTTTTGCAGCACTGTGGAACTATAAAAATGTATCGTTGTAAACTACAGGCCCCATGATGCATTGCAGAACCGAGCGCTCACATTAAGACCGTCGATCTGATATCTTTATATTGTGGCTCATGCTGCCACTTTAGCACTGCTGCCGTCGGTTAAAATTTGCATCTCTGCAGGAAATCACAACTCGACTTCCTGCTGCAGCCTCGTGATCACGGTCGTCATGGTTACAATGATTGCAAACACTGTGCACCAGCTGTGGTCCCGGAAGGAAGTAAAGACCGTTTAATTGATTGAGCTTTGATCGGAGTTTCATCATTGTTATCATTTGCTCGTACTCTAACCTCCTTCCTCAGCTGCTTCCTTACTTCCTCATGTTTCCTCTGCCCTTCCATCATTTTCTCCCTCTCACATTTCCCTTCACTTCTCCTTTTTTTCCCTTCCCCTCTTCTTTTTATGTCATTCCTTCAGCATCCCTGTCCTCCAATTCTCACCTCCTACATCTACTTCCTCACCCCGTCTCCTCCCCTTCTTTACCCGCTCACTCTGTCTCCACGGAAACATGATAGCATATGGGAATGGAGGGTGGGAAGGTGCTAATTTAACACCTCGGGGTGAAGCATGCTGTCTATATCGGTCTCTGCCTACACAGACGGGTGTCAAATTAAAGAAAGGGGCTGAACTCTCGACCCCCTAAAACGAGGA